AAATGAGCATTTAATAGTAGTTTCAGCAAGGCTTTTTGCTGCTCTTCCTATTACTATAATATTTTGAACTTCTTGAAGATCGCAGTCTGAGAGACGGCATATACTATTTCCTCTTGTGTACCATATAGGTACATTCACGTTTCCGGTTAAGGATTGAAGTTGGGACCTTACAGAGCGCTTAGGTTAGGCAATAATAAGCAAGTTTTTTATTAACTCATATACCAAAGCTTTAAGATGACCAAGATAAGTTCGGAACTTCCTGTAAATGGGCTAGAGCGACTCTGTCTCTCTCCCCTCCTCCTCCTCCTCATCCTCCTCCTCTTTGAAAAGTCATGATGTTTTGTGGTGCTATGGTGCTAGTTTACCGTGTGGGTCTTCCAGATCCTATTGATGCTCCGCGAGTGTAGTCACAATAACAGTCTCAACGTCGTTACGTCATCCTCGATGTTACTACTATCAGAACTGCAAAAGCTGTTTGGTATAGAAGGCCTACGTATCAGTTGCAAATTTAGGGAAAAGTAAACAAATTGTGCTTTTTAATCGAACAGAGACAAGTTCCAGCTGTTTGCAAACACAACATGTGACAGACTAGTACTTGAAATGGAATACCGGCATTTCTATCAAATGGAAAATGACACACGCAGTAAACAGTGTTCGTCTCTGTCTTCGAGTCCGCGTTCACGCATACAAGTCGTAGCTTGTCAGTCGAGCGAGCCCGTTCATCACAGTCGCAGTGTTTCGTTTTGTCGCTTCCGCATAACTTTCTAAGGTACGTAAAAAACACGTATTTTTCTTACAAAAAGTGCATACACTATTGTTGTTATAACTTCTAGACATAGTTTGGATGTTCTTTTGTGGATGCGGTATTTGATTGTATTATCTTATCAAATATAAAATATAAATGTCAGTTTGCAGTCGTTGGGAGATCCAAATATGGACGAATCATAGTAGCTAATTATGGAATATTCCATAATTTGTGCTTTTAAGTATCAGCTGATTTGATGATTCTGTTAATTTAAAAGTATGTTTTCTATTTTTCCTCAGAATGGCTGGCGTCAACTCAAAAACGAAACGAAAAGATTGGAATGCAGAGGACATGGCGCAAGCTATTACATTAGTAAGAGAGAAACAAATGGGTTATTTAAGAACTGCAAAACACTTTGGTGTGCCGAGAACTACCTTGTTTCGATTATGCCAGAAAAACGAATCACCGCCAGAAGAAGCCGCAGCTACTACACTTGGGAGGAAAACCGTTTTAGGGACAACCGTTGAAAATCTTTTGGTAGACTACATTTTGACGATGGAGAGCAAATTCTACGGCTTGAGGAGAAGCGATGTTCGAAGAATGGCGTACATGTTGGCAAAACGTAATCAGTTGAAAAATCCATTTGGTGACACGGGATTGGCTGGAAAGAAATGGCTTAAGCTATTTCTTAAGCGCCATAAGGACAAACTATCAGTCAGAAGACCAACTGGCACATCTTTTGCTCGAGCATTTGGATTCATCAAAGAAAAAGCAGACACATTCTTTGATCTCCTTGAAGGCGTTTATGTTCAAGAAAACTATGGTCCACACCGCATATACAATGTTGATGAATCTGGGCTTACCATAGTACAGAGATACCCCAAGTGGTTGGCCATAAAGGGAAACGGCAGATAGCTTCACTTGCCTCAGTTGAAAGGGGTTCATTAATGACAGTTGTTGTTGCTATGAACGTCACTGGTCATTTTGTACCTCCTTTTATTATATTCCCTCGCAAGAATATGAGTGCTCAGCTAATGAGAGGCAGTCCCCAGGCGCTGTTGGTATTGCACATCCATCAGGATGGTTACAAATGAACATATTCACTGAATGGTTCAAACATTTCATTAAACATACCAACCTTACTCCGGAATCGAAAGTATTACTGATCTTGGATGGTCATTTATCTCATACTCGTAACATCGACGTGATAGATCTTGCTAGGGAAAATAATGTAGACATTGTGTCCTTACCTCCTCACACAACCCCCAAGCTCCAGCCACTAGATAAGACGTTTATGGGACCTCTCAAAACGTATTACAGTGAAGAAATACGAATGTGGATCAGAGACAATAATAGACCACTAAGCCCTTATGATATGACGGAGCTGTTTGGTAGGGCTTATTTAAAAGTACAAACGGGTGAGATGGCAGCCAACGGATTTCGGGTTACAGGACTATGGCCATTGAATAAAAATATTTTTACCGCGGTCGACTATCTTGCTGCGCAAGAAGATGCAGTTAAAGATGGTTGCACAGTAGATGTTACACCAATGACATTAAGTCTCCAACCTTTAGAAGAATCGATGGTCAATCTTAGAACACCTGCTGATGGTAAGCCTTTAACTGAAGCTTCTACATCCAGACAAGATACAAATATTGAACCTGTGCCCTCAACTTCCGGAATTTCTCACAGTAGTTTAGGATTCGTTTCTCCATATGACATCAGTCCGGTACCAAACAAGAAAAGGAAACCTTCTAATAGAGGAAGAAAAGCATATGTTGCAGCAGTCATCACATCGTCACGTTACAGGGAGGATCTCATAGAAAAAAGTAAGAAGAAAGAAGAAAAACAAAATAAATGGGCAAAGAATAAAAATCAAAAACAAAACAAAAAGAAATCAAAAGGTAAAAAGCCAAGAGAAAAGATTAAGTCTCAGTCAGATTCAGATGATGATGAGGAGATGATGCTGTTTGATACAGACAGTGAGCCCGATGCCTTGATAGGAAATACAGCTCCAGACTCTGAACATGCGGAGTGTATTTTCTGTGGCATGCTGTTTTCAAATGATACCCACGGGGAAACATGGGTCAAGTGCCTCATGTGTGGGCTCTGGGCACATAATGATTGCGCAGGACCAGAGTCTGATGCCTGGATTTGTGAGTTTTGCAAATAATTTGAGTTCCTTTTTATGTTATACCAACGTTTCCAAAGAATCTCATTTAAGTTAAGGTTAAATTTTGTTGTTATTTATAGTATTCCATATATGGGGTACCTATTCCATATTTAGATACCTTTATAATTATTTAGTTTTTGTTTTAAATTTTATTTAAAATTTGTCAATGCAATCAAAACTTGTTACAAAATAAAGCGTAAATATATGATTATTATTAATGACTACAAAATATTTTTATTTGTAAAGTTTGTGCAAATTATGTGTGAAAAACAAAATGGTATTCCATATTTGGTCACTCTCCTCTAGGTATATACAGGGTGGTTAATAAAGCAAAATTAACAGTTACTCAACATTTTTGAATGAAACCCTTTTTTATTTTCACATCTTTTGATACCCCCTTTTTACAAACTTTTTTCTGATATAACATTTATAGGGGGTTTGTATGACTGGCTTTTGAGTTCTTGACTTTTTTACTTTACTGCATGAGGCTGGGTAGATTTGAGTTATAATAACGATACACCAATTCTAAGCATCTCCCGTTAGCAATTAAAAGCTACATTTATTACCTTAAAATGTATTGTAATATTTTTCGATACCTTTGTTAATTTACGAAACTGTAACTGTAACTCAAAAGCTAGTCAAGCCGCCATAAACCTTATATCAAAAAAGCTTCTAGAGAAGGGAACCAAGGGATGTGAAGATATACAGGGTGTTTCACTGTAAAATTTTAAGAAATCATTACATTTGAAAGAAAAATTGATGTTTGGGCCCCCACGCAGTTTTGTATCACGCTGCAGAGATATACATATTTTCTCAGAAGGACCATTCGGTTGGCTACAATTTTTGTAATAATAGCGGAGTTATGGACAGCGTCCACATTAAAGACTCCTGTATATGGTAGGTTGAGAGGGTATTAAAAAAACTTTCGCCTTTTTAAGCTCTAACGATTTATTATACATCTTATAAAAAATATGTACAAAAAAGACTGATAAGTTATCGATTGATATAAATACGGTACAATCGCATTTTCAGTCGAACATCCTATATTTATAAACTAGGTACGTAATTATGTTTAGTCTACACTATTAAAATGGCTGCAATATAAAAAGGCTGATACAAGTCAGCAGCTTCATTCAATTAGAAACCGCTCAAAGCGATTTATTGAAAATCTACTGCAAAAAGGACGAACCCAATAAGCGAAACATTGTGATTCAATATTTTTGAGTCACAAATATTTCATAGGGGTTCCCTAACAAGGACAGCGATTGCTTACTCACAGTCGGGCTATTTGCATTCATTTGTGCCAAAAAAATCTTCCAGAGCGTTTCCCTAACAGGGGTCAAACATTTTAGTGGCATTTCTTTGGACTTCTTGTCAATTGATAACCTTTGAAAACAGAACCGTTTTTACAGATTGATAGATTTTTGGTGCTAAAACTGAACATTTTGTCACCATAGATACTTGGAACGATTTTCACAAACTGGCAAAGAGTAAAATGGTCTTTAGCTAGTTTATGGGAATAGGAACATATTGTAATATTTTTTCTATAATGATCAGATTTTCAAATTGAAAAGGTTTCGTAAACTGAGATTAAAAAGACATTGACATTTTTGACAGACACGACTGACGACCCGTAGGAGAAAATGTTAAGTTTCAGGCTATTTGAAGGGACAATGTAACTTCTGAAACTAATCCTGTGACTTTGTTGTTGATAATTGTCCATGTTTGTTTGATCGCTGAACGAAACCATATACGTTTGAAATACTACTACAATTACGACGTTTCGGTAAAATTCTGATGACAATGACAATATATTTTTTGATTGTCTGTCTTCCAGGTGACAGTTAATCTGTTTCCACTTTCCACGCCTACTAGTTTAATTTTATTCAATACAATACAGTGTGTTGCGTGTGGCTTGCTTGGATCCGCAGTGACATCATTGCAATTTGATCGTACCGCCTGAAACCAGCAAATTCAAATGGCGCATGAGGAAGGCATTACCGCTCCCAAAAGACGTCTAGGCCCCAAAGCGACAAGCAAGGATGAGGCTATGGAAAACCCATCTAGAACTGTTCTAGCATCATACCGGTTAACTGTTATGCAATCTTCCACTATTAATGCTGCATATACATTGTTCATGGAGCAGAAATGCGAAAATTAGCACGACGACATCTTTTGTCTTTCGAGGAAATAGTACCTGAGTAAGACACAACAGTTTGCAGATGAAATAAAAAACTATACGAAAAATCCTGGAAGTACAGGACGTCTGGTCTGTTAGTCCTGTTGGAGAATGTCTATTAAATATTTCTTCCAAGGATACTTAACCAAACTGGGTCACAGCCCACAGAAGAATTAGACAGACAATAATTTATTTTATACAGGCTAATTGCTTTACATTTATTTTGTAATTGTTATCTTCTCTGTACAATATACCATAAATACTTCCTCTACCCTGGCGGTCCTGGTTACACGGTAGAATGGGTGTCCAGTGGTACCATCTTAAAATTGTAATGACGGTGTCGTGCGATCCCAGCATAGCTCGTATTGTAGTAAAGTGAAAAAAAAAACAAATCAGCTGTCACCTGGAAGGCAGATACACAAAAAATATATTGTCATCAGCTTTGTCATTTGTACTTGAAAAGGGCCACCGTGGTGGCCAAAACGACCTGTCAGTAAAGAATGTACAGGGTGTTACATAATGTAGCTCCTTATTACAAGGGCGGACTCCTGAACCAAATTTACGTAGAAAAGTTCATAGAGACATGTGTCCTAAAAAACTTGGTTTCCAGGATACAGGGTGTCAAAGGTTTTGTTGATATTTGACAGTTTTGTTCATTGCAATAGGGCGCTAATTTAGCACTAACTGAAAGATAATTATGAATTCCAGTGGTGTCTCGTACCGTAGCATCATGTAAAATATTGTCAAAAAAATGTATACCATTGACTTTTTATAAAAAATATATTTTTTTGTTTGGATTAAACAGTTTATGATTAAACTTTTATATGTCCTGAAACCCCTTCGTATCTTACTTCGTTTTCAAAAAATTAAGAAAAACTTCATTGCATGTCGGAAATTGTTACAATAAATAAATTAGTTTATTTTTTTAAGTATGAGGATTTTAACAATTTTTCGACATGTTGATTGAGATTTTCTCACAACCGATCGCTTTGCTTCCCGTCGATGGGCGTGCACCTTAATAGCGCCTCTCTAGATACTTAGTGCAACAAAAATAACGAATCGTTAAGCGCTCCGTTGCGTTATTTTTGACAGCGACTGCAAATAACGAATGTCGACGAAAAGATATTTTGTATGACCAGTAACGTCAACCCTGGTAATGTGGCAGTACTGATTACTGACAGTCATGACAGGCTGCTTGTTTTTTTTATTTTGACATGAAATTGACTACAAAATCTCAAACTCTTTTTAAAATTTTTCATAGAAAAGTTTCGGTAACAGTTGTGTCCAAATCGCACAAGAAATGAATTGGTTTAAAATCATAGAATGACAAAAGGACAAGTGACATAAAAATGAACAGAAGTGAAATAAAAATTTTCCTATACTCTTATAATATTTTAATCAATATGTTCTCATACATTCTAATTCTTTTAAATTAAGCTTATCCGGTTTTACAAATTTCGGCAACAGCGCTGAATAAGGAAAATATAACAAGCCCTCCCCTATTCTCCATAACTAAGGAGCTTTCTTATTTCCAAAAGCACTAAGAACTCTCTACTATCTTGATTTCTAGATACTATCTTGATGGTTGTAATGTAATGATTGACCGTTTTTGTCCTATCCAGTTTAATATGACATTTGTGAAGAAAACTTTTCCGGACATACGATGTTTACAAAGCGCATTAAGCCGGAAATATCTCAGATGTCTAACGAGCTGTCATATGAAGTGGCAAAGTACATAATAATATCGCAACGACATTGTAACAAAAGTGTCGCCTACGATCCTAAAACAGACATCTGGTAAGCCCATTTTACGACGATCGTAAAAACATTCATTGTTTATGTACCGCCAATGCCAATGCCTTCGCAATAAATTCAGTATACTTTGACAGCATTCTGATTTTCCTTTTCTTTTTAAAGCCGTTGAACGGCCGGCCGTTTTGTTGTATGCCCAAGAAAAAAAAACACATAATTCTATTTAAAGAGAAGATAAAGCGCATATTGTGTTTAATTGGAGTTTAGGCTTATGCGATGCTATTTCTTCAAATTACATGTATATTTTTCCGGGCAAATAGAGTATTTTTTCATTCTGGTGGAACAAAACAAAAGTATTTATACAGGGTGTCCTCAAAGTTGCGACTTCCCTTTACACAGCGTATAGATCTTGAAAAATATGCGGGTTTTCCTATCAGAATATACATGAAACTCTTAAGATAACCGAGATATTAGGGTTCTCAAAATTAATCAAACCTAAACCAAACCTAATACGCTCCTGCATCAGACCAAAGATGAGAAGGCATGACGCACGTCAGTACTCAACCCAGGTGCCGGTAGCATATGTAAATAAATACAGCAATATCGAACTTGTCATGAGTTTAATTTATGGTGAGCGTCTTCAAAATGTACCGAGGCTTCGCGAGTCCATGTAGATCGCTTTCCCAGACGTTATCCTTCAGGACCACCTGGATGTATTTACCTTGTTCAAAGAATAGATACAAGAATGCAGGAATGTCGATGTCTCTCACCTGTCACTGAATGGTTCAAACTGAAGAAGGAGTATATAATCTTGTGGGAGAAAATCCTTCAACAAGCACTAGAGAAGTTAGAGTAGTGGCTAGACAAATGCTAGTCTCCAAGACTAAAGTTAAACGCTGCATACAATTTTGTACGCTTGTGTACGAGCCCTTCAGGCCGAGGATTTACCTGCAAGAGTTCGTTTTTTTGAGTGGTTGTTGCAGTCCAAATTGCTCACGAACGAATCAACCGTCACGCGTAACGGGGTGTGTAGTTTTCGCAATACTTATGTGTAGTCATTGGAAAATCCTCTCGTAGCCACATTTTCAACAAACATTTTCTTTGAATATTTGGGCCGGCAAAGTAAATGGTTTTATTTTTCCGAATCGGTTGGACGATTTACACTACCTAGACGTTCAACGAAACATTTTACCCCGACATCTTCGAAGATATAGGTGGTAGAAGTCGTATTTGAAATGTTTCTGTAAATGACAGAATGAAATGAATGAGTATCTTTTCATTTATTTTTTTACCTTTTCGCCACTGTTTGAACACACATTAGCGTTGATATTTCAAGCGTAGTTGTTTCTGACAAGGAAAGTGACAACTTTCAGAACACCTTGCATGGGAGACCGGGGATGGTTGACTATGGGGGTAGGTAGACTAACCGCCAAAAACTCGTTAACGATATGAGTATTACGTCATCCCGGCCCAGCCGCACATTACTCTCCGACCCCCGTTCAGTCATATGGAAGGCCACGTCGCGGATGCACGCCGTTTTTGAATAGTTAGTCAACCAACCCCAATATAATTTGAAGTTTAAAATATCTCGTAAATTAACCTTTTATTCGTGTTTTAATATTCATTTTGTTACAGTACAATGAGGACCTATAAAAGAGGAACTAAACGAGCTGATACACCAAAAGATGTCCTAGAAAGAGCTTGTCACCTAATAATTTTGGACACAAAAAGTACTAATGCAACTTCAAAAAAATATGACATTCCCTATAAGACATTACATCGTTATGTGGCGACACTAAAGGAGAAATTGGAACGTAATCCGAACTTGACGAGAGCAGAATTAACTTTGGACTTAGTGGGATATATTAAAAATAGGTAAGTTTTCACTGGTGAAGAAGAAGCTTTAGCAAGTTATTTAAAGAATGCCGCTAATATTTATTATAGATTGACACCATATGAGACCCGAAAATTAGCATGTCAGTTCGCCATAAAAAGTAACAAAGCTATGCCTGATTCTTGGAGAACAAAATTTTTAGCTGGCGAAGATTGGTTAGGCTCGTTTCTCAAACGTCATCCTTCTTTATCCATAAGGACACCTCAAGCAACAAGCCTTTCAAGAGCTACATCATTCAACAAACGTAACGTCAGTATGTTCTTCGCTAATTTAACTGCTGTTTACCAACGTTTCAATTTAAGCCCTGGTGATATCTGGAACGTTGATGAAACAGGTTTGAAAACCGTGCAAGTACCTAATACAGTAATAGCTCGACGTGGTGTTAAAAATCTAGACAAGATGACATCTGCTGAGAGTGGTACACTGGTGACAGTTGCAGTAGCTGTTTCAGCTGTAGGAAATATAATTCCACCATTTTTCGTAATCCGTCTATTATAAGTCCCATTTTGATAGAGGTGGCCCTATAGGATGTGAAGGTGATGGTAATCCGCCTGGCTGGATGAAAGAAGAGAACTTTATGAAGTACGCCAAACATTTTTTGAAACATGTTAAACCCAGTAAAGAAAAACCTGTACTTTTGTTGTTGGATAACCATGACTCTCACTTATCAATTGAAGCGTTGGGTTACTTTAAAACTAATGGTGTGACAGTTTTATCATATCCTCCACATTCTAGCCACAAGCTACAACCTCTTGACAGATCTGTGTACGGACCATTAAAAAAGTACTTCAATTGAGCATGTGACAACTGGCTGGCTAGTAACCCGGGAAAGACTATCACAATTTATGAAATACTGGAGCTGGTTAAAACGTCACTACCATTGGCTGCTACAATTGAAAATATTCAATCAGGATTCGGAGTATCCGGGATTTCTTCATTGAATGAAAACATTTTTCCTGACTACGAGTTTAGTGGTTCTTATGTGACAGATAGGCCGATGCTCACTTCCCCTGATGGTGATTATCCTTCAGCATGTGATGTGAGCACAGTGTCTGTTCCATCGACTTACGATGGATCTAACAGTTGTCTATCGTCGAAGAGGTTCCCATTCCTGATCACCATACAATAACTGAAACTCACTCTCTGGCACCGCAAAGTTTATTTGTAAATACAGACCAGATTACTACCACAACACCCTCTCCTACAAGATCTTTGAGGACTGAATGTGAGTCACCTTCTATTTTTGACGAAACATTCAATTCTGTATTTGAAGCGGAACTGAGAGAAAACCTCAAAACACCAGAAAACGTTCATTCTACAGAGGCAAATGTACCCGTATCTTTACACAATCTAAACCTTTCCTCAACTTCATCAGCAACATTTGAAGAGCTAACACCCTCTCCTAAAGCGGTGCCACTTTTAGAAAATAGAAGAAATATTCGGAAACGTAAAAGTACTATATATACCGACACCCCGGAAAAACTAAATCTTTTAGATATGAAAAACAAAAGAGAAACATATAAGAAGAAAAACATATACAAAGGACAGAATCGAAAAAGGAAAAGAAACGCATAAGATTGCTTGACACCGTCGATGAAAATTTCGGTAATGCTGTAGATTCAGATGACGAGAGTACGATTTGTTTAGAGAACATTGAATCCTACGTCGATAGTGTTCCAGGCGAACAATGGATTCAGTGCATAACTTGTAAGTTATGGGCTCATTCCAAATGTGTAAGAGGTGATCTTATGTTTTTTGAATGCAAACATTGCGCTTCTGATATTGAAGACTTATAAGATACAAAGGAACTGTTTAATTAATGAAACTAATAAATGTTTAAATAAAAACTGGGAGTTGATAGCTTTGTTAAAGACTTATTGTAAGATAATGTCTGTAACTGATTAAAATTGTTTTTGAATAAAAAGTTTTGTTAAATTATAAAAAAAGTTTCATAATTTGAATCTTCTCATAATTTGTCACTTATTGATACATAAGTCTACATACCCCGGTCATATAGTCAATCTACCCCGGAGCCGGGGTAAATTGACTAAGAATTGGTGTTCTGTAAAATGCGTTAAATTATGATCATTATATTGAATAATGGACTAGTTTTTATATTTTTTTATACGTTCAATAGCTCATCTATCCATTGATGCAGTTTTATTGTCTGTAGGTATGTATAAAAGCACAAAGAATATGTATGATGTAAAAAACAAGTCAACCATCCCCGGTCTCCCCTATATTTTGTTCATTATTTGTACTTAAAAAACATATTTTTTGTTGCTCTTCGCGTTATTTAACAAATAGTCGCCTTCCTTAAAGACAAATAACACCCTGTATCTTGTTAATGAGACATTTTAGGATTTGTTGATATTTTTGGAAGAACTTAACCCTAGAAATATTTTTTTGAAACACTCTGTATACCATTTTTTGAGTGTTCATTACTACAAATAGTTCCTACTTTTAGGGAATAAGGTAAGCTTAGTTTGTGTATGACTATAACAAGCCATTTGCGATTTGTTAGGAGTCAATCACATACTGGCAGTGACGGGCGCGTTAAATTTATCACCTAAGACCTAAGTTATACGTGGATACAATATTTGTAATTGTATATGTCGTCGTACCAATGTATACAATGTTGACAATGCATGCAATGGCAAATATTAGTACATCTAGGCCGCTTGCATATGGATAAACCCAAATATCACTGAAGAGGCAATGCGTACGAGAGAGAAGAGTACGCCAATAGCAACGCGGTAAACCGCAGCTATGTCCGTCGCCTCGTCACTAGGGTAATGCTAGGCAACGTCATGCTTCTATCTCTTTCTAACATACGTATTTCACGCTTCTCTCTCGTATACATTACGACGTCAGTCTGTATATTATGTAATGCCTTTACAAATGATTTTGAATAATTAGAAAAGGCATAAATAATTATGGATATATTATTTGTATATACAAAGGTATAGCTTTAAATTAATAAGGCACATTTCTTAAATAAAAAACATCCTGGAAACAAAATCCACCTATTTGACTGATTTCATTCAGCGTCGCTAGCGTTCTCAAGGCAATATTTGGATTGACAAGGACGTTACCGGACAACCGTTCGGACTAACACATGGTTTGTTACTTCTTCTTAGTATATCTATGCGATTTTAAGCGTTCTCTCCCAACTATGACCTTGATAATGACCTCGACGAGAAGCAACATATTGTAAGATCCGTCAGGAGATATTTTAGGGCCAACGGCGTCAGTGGCAGTAGTGCTTCCCTTAGTGATTTTTCCTCAGAGGAATCTCCAGAAGATTCCTCAATTGAAGAGCTACACGGCACATCAGCGGAATCTCCTGAGACTCCGCATTGCACACCAGCAGAGCTCCAAAGTCATATTAAAGACCTTAAAGCACCTGGAGAGGATCGAATCACTAACAAGGCGCTGAAGCTACTTTCGCGGAAGTCCTTAACTTATCTCGTGGCAATAATCAATGCCATGCTAAGGACCCAGCACTTCCCGACGGCGTGGAAGACCGCTGATGTCATAATGATTCCAAAGAAGGTGGGTTCGATATTCCCCCAGGATTACCGCCCCATTAGTCTACTGTCAGCTTCTTATAAACTCGCTGAAAAGGTGATTCTACGTCACCTTGAAAATTTCTCGGCAGACCACAATGTGATTCCTGACGTGCAATTTTTCGGTCTGAGCATAGTACGGAGCGACAGGCCATAAGGCTTGTTGAACGAGTAACCAGGGGGTTCACCCGTAATGAAAGTACTGGCATCTTGCTACTGGATGTCTCAAAGGCATTTGACATGGTGTGGCACAAGGGCCTTCTCTATAAATTGATCCATAAGGGCTTCCCCTTCTGGCTCCTAAAACTTTTGAAATCCTTTCTCGAGGGTAGGAAATTTCGGATCAAAATTAATAACGTTCTGTCGACAACACGGCCCATCAAAGCCGGTGTCCCTCAGGGTTCGATTCTTGGACCAGTCCTTTATTCACTTTTTATTCATGACGTCCCTTGCCCTAGCAGCTGTGAAACCTATCTCTATGCTGGTGGCCCAGTCGTGCTCTGGGGATCTAGCTCACGACAGGCTGCAAAGTGCAGTAGACGAGGTATTGGAATGGGCGAATCGGTGGCTGATCAAAATTAATCATTCGAAAACGCAGGCAATCTATTGTACCAAAACACGTAGCGGCGTCCCGTCTGAGGTTTCATTGAATGGAGCTCGGGTACCATGGGAAAGCTCTGCTAAGTATCTCGGTGTCACTCTTGACAAGGGAATAACCTGGCAGAAGCACACTGAAGCGTTAAAAACTAAATTCCAAATCTCGTTTCGGCAACTCTACTCTATGCTATGTAGAACATCAAAATTAAGTTTGTTCAACAAAGTTCGTCTATACATGATGGTTATTAGACCAGCGATCACTTACGCAAGTGCGGCTTGGTGTTTTCTCGCCAAAACGCATTTGCGTAGCCTGCAGGTTTTTGCAGAACAGAACCTTGCGTACAATCACTAACGCCCCATGGTATGTTTCCAAAGAGACCCTTCACAGAGACCTTGACATCCCTTACCTAAGGGACTACACAACAAGCGCAGCTACGTTACAGTCAAGCAGAATCGCATAACAACCCTTTGTTGCGCGAGTCAGTAGACTACACAGTCGAACAAGTTCGCAAGCACACAAGGCCGCGACTCGCACTGTGAACAAAATTAAATCGTGCGACTTTAGGTCCAACCAAAATTATAATTTTTCTTCAACAACCAATCCCAAAATTAATTTTAGGATCAATTTAAAATTGCCGAATACTAACTAGCAATGCCAAGGCACCCCTCAAATTGATGCACTTCTTTTTCTTTGCTCTCCCTCCTTCCTTCCTTTTTTCTTCCCTTCTTTCTCCCTGACTTTGTTTGGTATCTGGGCAACCAGACCTGACAGACCTACCGACTTACAAGACTTCAACCAAGAGCAAAGGTCTACGGACCGCTCTGACAGACAATGACGAATAGTGTGCGATTTTAAGCGATATATAGCTGAATTTGCCAACTTTTTCTATAGGTATAGTGCATGAACGAATTATTTTTTTTCATCTTTTAACAAAATAAACCATAGCTTATGAATTTCCTTATTTTTAGCGCGCCCATTTTATAATTGCTGTTTTGACGTTTTCGAGTAAGCCTAAACTTATTGATATTCTTATACATTGTCTTCATCATTGCATACATTGTATACGCATTATACATTGTATACATATTGTGTACATCGAAACGTAGATAATCAATGCATACGCCGACTATCACTGCATACTGGTTGCTGAAATAAAGTTATAATAGCACTTTTCATGAAAGTCGTTGATCGGTAAGTCTTTTGTTCAGCGTCGTCGATTGGTTGATTATGCATTCAGTACATCATGCCGGGATGCATTCCTGCGGCGCTTCCTCTTTGGAAGTACACGTTCGGGTTGCTGCTCAACGTCGGCTCCAGCGTCGTATACACGTTGCCGTCGTCCGGTCGGAGAAATACACCACCTACAACACAAAAACGGACGTTAGTCTTTGTCTCATACCCCATGGATGAATCAACAATGGTCGCATTCGCAGGCAACGCGAAAACGTGATTATGACAGACTCCGCACAAAACATACCGAAATATGTAGGCTCCAGTAGCAATCAGTAGTTTTAATCATCTCTAATAATAATAATGTTTATTGCCACAAAATACAGGTAAATATCAAATATTGTGCACAATAAACATAAAGCACCCAAAAAAAGTTTGCACTTGTGTTTGAGTTTGTTAGAAATAAAAACTAATAGTACAGTCAGTGTATGAAAAAAAAAACCGTTAATACTGTATAATTTGGTGAATTATTATGGTAATGTCAGGAAAAATATCCAGACATTATAACTAAAGTAAAAGTATGGATGTTAGTGTAAGTAAAATATTATTGATTTTGATAATGATTTTTCGAATCTACAATTTCGTGGATGGAGTACCTTGGTTGTTGTAAAATCCATTTTTTTAATGATTTATTTGATTTAATTACTTTTAATGACTCTGGTATGAAGTTATAGAATTTTGGTACTAAGAAAAACAGAGATCGTTGTGTAAGGGTTTTTGTTTTGATATTTG